CGCATGCGCCCGCTCCAGCGCTGGTTGAATGCTCGCGCGTCTTGCCGAGCTTGGGTGTCTGGCGGCCAGAAAATCAGAGTGACTCAGACCTGCATAGCGGCTCTGCAGCCCTGGTTAGTAGCCGACTTGTACCAGCAGGGAGTGATGATGGGAACCATCTCTTACCGAAAAGTCACAGACCGGCCTTCGGCCAGTGGTCAGATCAAGAGAAGTGTTTCCACATAAACTGTCTGGAGATGTTAGCGGTCGAGAACGCACTGAAGTGCTTCCTCCCGTTCATACAGGACCAACATGTTCTTGTCCGCTCGGACAACATGTCTGTGGTATCCTATGTCAACCGTCAGGGCGGTGTCAGATCCAGGAATCTCTGCAATCTGGCGGAACGCCTCCTTATGTGGTCTCAGATGCACCTGCGTTCGCTGAGGGCGACGCACGTGCCTGGCCATTTGAACGACGGCCCAGACAAACTGTCCAGGGACAATGTTCCCCCAGGGGAATGGTCCCTGCACCCACAAACGGTCCAGAAACTGTGGCGCCTATTCGGCAGAGCGGAGGTCGACCTATTTCCGTCAAAAGACAACGCTCAATGTCCGATATTCTTTACGAAAGACGAGGACGCGCTGGCCCAGGTTTGGCCCAGCCTCCCGCTTTATGCTTTCCCTCCGGTCTCTCTGTTACCTCAAGTGTTCAAGAGAATCAGGGAAGCACGCCACTCGGTGCTCCTCATAGCCCCGCGATGGGAGAATCAGATTTGGTTCCCGGAACTGACACAGCTGTCACGCACAGCTCCGTGGCTCGCGGCACGATCTGGCATCCCTATCCAGAGCGCTGGTCTCTGCACGCATGGTTGATCAACGGGTACTCGTTACCCTGCCAGAAGGAGTGATGAACACAATCACACAGGCTAGAGCTCCTTCCACGAGAAGGCTCTACGCGTCTAAGTGGTCGGTGTTCTCCAGATGGTGCACCGACAGAGGTCTGGACCCGCGGACATGCGGGGTGGCGCATCTGCTCACTTTCCTACAAGAGATGTTGGATAAGGGGAGGTCCCCATCCACGCTCAAAGTGTATGTGGCGGCCGTGGCAGCGTTCGCAGAGCCGACGCACGGCCAGTCATTGGGAAGACATGAGCTGGTCATCCGCTTCCTTAGAGGAGCTAGAAGGATGAACCCGCCGCGCCCCCCGTCGGTTCCTGTGTGGGATCTTTCATTGGTCCTCGAGGCCCTGAAAGCTTTTCCATTTGAACCACTGGACTCCGTGGGGTTGAAATATCTATCACTAAAAACCGTTTTTCTGATTGCACTGTCGTCAGTAAAACGTGTGGGGGACCTGCACGCGCTGTCTGTCAGCGCATCGTGTCTGGAGTTCGGGCCGAATGACTCTAAAGTCATCCTCAGACCTAGACATGGCTATGTCCCTAAAGTGATGGGCACTCCATTCAGAGCGCAAGTCATTTCACTGTCAGCTCTGCCAGCATCTGACAGCGAAAGTGATGTGAATCTCCTCTGCCCTGTTAGGGCGCTGAGGTTTTACATTACGCGCTCCGCCTCCTTCAGGCGTTCGGAACAGCTGTTTGTTTCGTTTGGAGGGCGCACCAAGGGTCTCGCCTCCTCGAAACAGAGCCTGTCCAGATGGATAGTGGACGCTGTAGCAGCCGCTTACGCGTCAAAAGGTCTGCAATGCCCTTTGGGTATCAGGGCTCATTCCACGAGAGGCGTTGCCTCGTCGTGGGCGTGGTCCAGTGGGATCTCTATCCATGACATATGTGTAGCGGCGGGCTGGAGCTCCCCGTCTACCTTTGTCAGGTTTTATAACCTAGAGGTTCCCGCCTTGCAGGCTAAACTTTTGTCAGTTTGAAAGGGATGTGTATTCTGCCCAGATATTCTGCTCAGATCACTCTCACGTGACTCAGCTCTCCTGGTTGAGCTGCACCAGTAGGGTATGTGCCATGTGCCTATACAGACCACCGCGCTGCTCTGTATTCCCTATGTGTGCTTATATACAAGTGATGGCCCGCATGGCTGGCCACCTTATTTTTCCCACTTATTGGGCTCCCCTGAAGTTCGGGGTCTCATGGTGGATGCTTGGCGCGCACGGCGTTGACAAAGTGTTCCCGTAGCGTAAGCTAAACTTACGCAATACGAGAGAACCTCTCGTAAGAGAACGATACTCGGTTACTAACGTAACCTCGGTTCTCTCTAGAGAGGGAACGAGTATTGCGTAACCGGCCGTGCTCGCGCCACGAGCGACTTCGCTTCAGTTGTCGAAAAACCAGGGAATTCAGCCTACGAGCCCCTTCTTTTATACGCTAAGCCACGCCCATTCTGGCGGGCTGTGACGCTATGAAGGCGCGAGCGCCCTTCATTGGGCGTGACGTCACGCCGGGCTCACTGGTAGGCTGCAGCAGTTGCCTGCAGGGCAGCCAATGAGCACGCTAGACTGCCTGCTCTAGGTCTGCTAGCTGCTGCACTGCGTTGACAATGAATACAAAATTAGGATAATTTTTTGGCTTCAATATCTCGAGAAGATGAATCTTTCCGTAGCGTAAGCTAAACTTACGCAATACTCGTTCCCTCTCTAGAGAGAACCGAGGTTACGTTAGTAACCGAGTATCGTTTTTGACTGCATCAATAATGTATACGATGGGCTATATATTAAATGTTCTAGAACTTCTAGTCTAAACATGTTAGGCGAGCTTTCTTCCAACTTACTTTCTCCATCACGACGTGTGTTCGCGCGATGTCGCGGTGGCCGAACTTCCGTGTGTTCGATGACAAATGCAGTAACAATACAAATGCAATACATTTGTTACTGATAATCTTCGTTAACGTTAGTTAATAAAAAATACAGCTGTTCATTGTTTGTTCATGTTAGTTCACAGTGAGTGCATTAACTAATGTCAACAAGTTTTTAATAAAGTACTATTAGTAAATGTTGAAATTAACAGTAACAAAGATTAATAAAGGCTGTATAAGTACAGTTCATTATTAGTTCATGCTAACTAATGTAGTTAACTAATGAAACTTATTGTAAAGTGTTACCCATTTAATATTAATTGTAGCTGAAGACTAATAAATAGAGAATGCTTTACAAATAGAGAATGAAAACTTCTAAGAGACAGATCATTTTCGCAGATATGTAGCAAATACGTTGAATGAATCCTTGAATAAGGATAAATATCATAACTGCGGGGAAGCTCGTTTCTGCCACTGAAAAAAAAGGTAATTATGACTTTTATACCACAACTGACTTTTTAAACTGTGAGATAAAAAGTCGCAATTAGCTTTTTATTTTTTTAATTCCGTGGCGGAAATAAGCTGCCATATTACACGGTCATGTACAAGTAGAAAAAAATCATTCTATTTAAACAGACTATTTGCTTCAGACTATAAACTATTTGCTTCAAGCCAAAGTATCAACCAAGATAAATGCGTTTCATATAGGTGATAAACAGAGGAAACAGACTGTTCTGTAATACATCAATATTTTATTTTTGTGACACAGAAACTCCTGAACTTCAACACCTCTGCAGATTCATTTACTCATCAGTGTTACGTTCCATACGCGCAGAGGTAAGACTGGATAAAGTTAATGCGGTCATAAATAATTGTAATAAATATCAAGTAAATGTACAACACATATTTCACTGCATTCAGCTTTTTGTGCGGATGTCTTTTCATAGACTTCACCTACTCCTCTCCAAAAAGACAGCAAGAAAAATGAAGAGACTACCTTTGATAGCAGCAGTTAACCATTTCAAAATTAATATAATAAAAAAAATAATAAACACACACACCCACAAAACCCTATTATAGTGCTGAAATGCTGATATTTTCAATGAAGTACATCTATAGTAGCATCAAGTGTGTTTGTAATGATGGCTATATATTACAGAACTCATAACGCAATTAAATGGTTCACTAGAAATGTTACAACTGATTTCCAAGAAAGAATAGGAAATCCTATAAAGAACATCCAATTTATATTTCAATTTCCAAACAGTATTATCTTTAAAGACACAGAAAAGAGATTTTAAAAAAATTAAAACGGCTTTTAAAAAAAACATTTTCTCTTTGGGAGGGGGTAAAATATAGACCTTCAAAAAAAAAAAAAAAAAAAAACCCCGCCAAACTAAAGCAACTCGACTGTTAATGTTGGGTATCTTCAATAGACATTTTCATGCACTAGAGTATTGGGTGCAAAATCATCCCTCAAAAGCAATAAAACTAGGTAGACTGCAACAGTGCCATTGGGTAATGTAGTTGGCAAACTAAAAGTATGTCAGAAATGAATGGCGTTTTGGCAAACAAGACCATAAACTTAGCACCACTCCAAACCAAAGAGCATGGCAGGTAGGATCTTGCATTCAGTTTACAGCAATCCGCATCGGAAACCACTTGGAAATGAAAATGGATACAATTCACTGCTCTTTATATTACTATAAAGCTTGTTTCTGAACATGACTTACCTCAGATACAGACCTGAACAGCATATGCACCTTTTATAATATAGGCAGATATTTATGTCGTAAAGCAATCTTGCCATTTATAGTTCAGATTCTTAAATATGCTCGACCACATGCGTACTTTTAGTCCCTGGACAGAGCCTGTAGCATCAATATTTCCATGGAATATTTCGGGGGCATAAACCCTTTCAAGCCTCTAAATGGGTTAATCTCACAAAATCTGTCAAGAACATATTCTGGCATAAAGAAAATGAAGCATAATTTAAGACCATTGCTGTTGTTGTTTTGGCATTACATTCATGGGGATTGATTAATTGCAACACCAAAGTGTCTGGTGCATTGCCTGGTCAATGCTTTTCATTTAAAACAACAACAAAAAAACTAATTTGCTTATGGTAACGGGAATTGGCGAAAAGGAAAAAAGAGAGAAAAATATAAAAAGGCGCAGGGTAATAAAAAAAAAAAAAAAATACCAACAAAAAAATTATTAGTAATGAGAATTGAGGGTAAAAGCAAAGAATAAAACAAATGGGACAAATGCAAAAAAAAAAAATATTTATATATTTATGCAAATTCTAATTTTGACCTGGATATGTTCTTGACCGTTTTCAAGAGGTGCACCCAAAATGTTCTTATCGAAAGATGCAAGAATAACTTGTTAAAGTCCTTTGCGAGGCTAAAATCAGCATCTCTCTAAATGAATGTGTGTCAACAATCACTGTCATCACTAACAGAGAGAAGGCAGTGGTTGAGGCACACAGGGAATGCTAAGATGACAGACTGGTTAAATGAGAGGAAGAAAGAGATTAAATGTTTAAAAAGGGAGAAAAGCAGTTGCAGTGCCACTTCCTTCAAATTTGTTGATGGACAGCATATGTACATCATTTTATAAAAGTGTGGCTTCCTCTCTGCCACCACGAGCTGCTGTCAAACTCACTGCCCTCCACGCGAAAGCGCTAGTCTTTGTAAAGGCAAATTGGTCTGGGCTGTTCAAGTTCCTTCATGACTGTTTGTTTTTCCTTTCTTGAAAAAGAACCGAGGACTGATGTAATCACTTAAGGTTGCGCGGTGACAGTCTCAGACGTGGCCGACGGGGATTCTGAGAAATCACAGCAGGGTTGACTAGCAGGCGAAGTTTAACCGCTGAGAGGATCTTCACGATAGTGGATAGCATAGCGCAACTTCTCCAGCATGACGTCAAGGGAAGAGTACTGGGGCAGCTTGACCATGAACATGCAGGTCTCCACACGAATGTAACGCAAATCCGGTGAGCCTACGACAGATTGAAAAGCAAACAGTTAAAAAACTTCATTACATGACTTTTCATACATAGGGAAATACTGTGATGTTAATCAGTGTGAGGACCACTGGCTTGAGCAAACACTTCCTTTGCTAACACTGCACATCCTTCAAAAACAGTTGCTCAAAAGTAAGTTTTGTGTAGGGTTTGAAGCATTTCATATTCCTGTGACCATTTCTTTATTTAAATAGTCGAGACCATTAGCGTTTTAAGGGAAGATGTTGTTTTAGAGCAGCTTCTTTATTGCCAGTTTGTCATTTCAAAGCCGGTTTCAAAAAGTATACTTTTTGCAATGGTCGATACACTTTTTAGTTATACAAATAGTCAACCATCTACATAACTTTTTTTTTTTTTAAATCTTAACCCCTTCGCTGTCACCCCCCTTTTTGAGAATGAGGGTTAAAATGCACTATTCAAACTTAAATGGTTGTAATTCAAGAATGCTTTGGAATATAGACCAAAGTTTGGTCTTGTTTTAAAGGAAACACTCAGCAGATTATTGCTGAAGTGAAAACACTTAAAAAAATGAAAGTATGAAAAAGTTATGGAAGTTTAAATTGACATTTTTCGTCAAATATACTGTACTATATATTTTTTATTTTATAAAACATATATAGTACAAAATATTTTTTACTATAAAATTACTATAAAATCAAAGCTATATATCTAACCAAGTAGTGTTCCAAATTTGAAGTTGATATCACAAAAATTGAAGTTCCCATGAGATTTTGTTTTGGCGTAGTACCAAAAATAGCCACCGGGTGACTTACATTCCATTGAATTTAGTTGTATACATTCTGCCTTAACAAATTAAAACATTTTTGTCCAAATATCAATTCTGTCCAAAAATTTGGAACCTTGAGACTTAGACCTTTCTGACAATATGTGTTTTGTCAAGATTAGAAAAGGTTTTGATCATAAATTACGAAATATAATAAAGCCAAAAAGGGGAGGAGCCTTATAAAATAATTTAGAGTACCGTTTCTATGGTAACGCAACGTTCAATTTCAAAATGTTTTTTACAGGATGAAGTCTGAGTTTGTAAGCTTTCAAATGGTACCCAATTTATGAAAACTACTAAAATATGTGATGTAATAAAAAAGGCGATAAAAAAGATATTATTATATTTTAGAGGATAATATATATATTATACTTTTTAGAGGATAATATTATAATTTGTTATAATATTATAATATTTTATAATATTATAATATTATAATATGTTTTATTATGAACTTTTAGCATGAAAACCAAAGTTTCAATTATTAAAGGTGTGTGCGTCAACTTTTTGTGACAAAGGTCAGAACTCCTGTTATGACGCAGATTTTTTTGAGGTGCACTCTTGTCACAAAATCATCGGTTACTCTTCCTACATAATTTGTAGCAAAAAACAGCAGTCAAATATCTATTTAGGAGTCTTAGACCTTTCCAAACATATATAGTTTGTCATAATTAGATTAGGATTTAATGGTAATATGGCGAAGTAAAGTTAGGCGTCCCGTATGTTAAAACAGTTAAAACAGTAAACAATGTTTTGTTTTAAGTGAACCTCTTTTACACTTTAAATGAAAATACTAACTATTATGCTATTGTGGTGGCAATTTTAATGATATTCATTGATCTTTAGTTAAATATAGATGATTCAAAGAATGTCACATGTGTGTCTCTCACTTGTAGTGAGAGAGGATTCTGTTCATGTACCTGGGGAGGCAGAAGAGGGAGACACTCCAGAGAACAGACGAACAAGGACCTCTGACCTAGATGTCAGAAGGCCACTTAGTGCAGGGGAGCTTAGTGGGCCAACTAGTGACGTCTATGGAAAACTACTGGGAGGAAGGCTCTGGGGGGAAGAAGGCCTTGAAACTAAGATAAAAGCTAGTTCAGTCTGTCTGGGGGGGGGGGGTGTCACTCTTCTGCACAGGGTAACAACTGTGTATTAGACTGCTCCTATTCTTGCAAGAATAAATACTTCTATTTTATATAATTTGACTCTGAGTGTCTCTTACGCAGTGATGTTTGTTTGAGATGAATTTTTGCCACAACAGTTTTGGTGTCAGAAGTGATATTTCTTGGACGTGCCTCCTGGACCTGAGATCGGACGGTGTTTGGCCACCTGGACTAAGTAAGTTCCAGCTCTACCTCGTAAACTTGAGAGAGAGGGGCCGACCGATATCAGGGCCGGGAGAATCGACCACTGGAATCTAAAGAACCCGGTGGCAACAGAAGCATCTCTGGTAAGAGACAGTTCAATTTATTTTCTTTTGGGTAAGTTAATTAAATTCAGTTTAATTGGGGAGAAGAGTGAAATTGAACCATATTGGCTGAAGGCTGTTTCTGTGGTACGTAATCTGAGATTAATTGAGATCTATATAGATCAAGAAATTTCAAACAGATACGAGGGAAAAATCTGAGATTAATTGAGGTCTGTAACAGAACAAGAAATTTCAAGCAGATAAATAATCTGGGATTAAGTGAGAACTGTAACAGATCAAGAGATTTCAAACAGATAGGTACCCTGAAAATTAGCTGTTCCACGACGGAGCAAATTGTTTTTAGGTACTAAGGCTAATTAGGGGGAACCAGAATTTTTTGGTAAACCATAATTAGGAGGGCACTAATAGTGCAACCCGACCGATTTGGGTTAAAAGAAAAGAGTCGGATTTGTTAGGGACGCCTAAACAGATTAAAGAAAACGCGCGTTGAAGAGAAATCCACAGGGAACAGAAAACAGCCAGTATGGGAAAATCTCAGAGTAAGCATGCCAAATTTGATACACCGGTTTTCTGTAGAACTAGGAAAGTATGGGGGAAAATGTATGTTTTAGATATTGAAAAAACTGAGAAAATACCATGATTTCCCCAGGGAGGGAACACTGAGCACAAATAGACTAAGAGTGTGCGAGAATCAGTGGAACAGGGCAGCGGGACAAAAGGTTGTTGTGGCTGCGTTCAACATGTGTGTAAAAAATGTGAACAGATAATGGATTGTTCAGTTGAAGATAAAATGTCGAACTGCCAGGAGAAATAATGTTTTTTACTTCTTCATCCAGTAAATGGATGCATGACATTAGATGTCTATAGAACTTAAATTTATATGACAAGGATTAAAGTAGCAAGAAGCAATAAGGCTGTCTGTGTGAAATAGAGGGAACTGTAAGTGAGACTTGGTGGAAGAGGGAAGTGAAAAAACAAAAAGGTTGGTGTGTGAGATATGTGTGTGTGGGGATTGTTCAAACAATCATGTACTGGTTAGATAATGAAGGAACTGGCATGTTTGAGAAAAGAAAGGAGAGGATAATGAAGGAACTGGCATGTAGAGAAAAGAAAGGAGAAATATAGTAGAAAACTATATGTGATGAAAATAGACATGGTCTGACAGAATTTATGGAAGTCAAATTAACTGTTTAAATGATATGAAAAGTTTTAGAATAAAATAAGGCATTGTATGATTGACAGGGATTAACATGATATGAAGAATGTTTTAAGCAGAATGGGGAACAATTCTAGATTCTGATAAAATAATGATTGAAATGATGATATATCTGCTTTATTTTATTAATGTTAAGAAAATAAGGGTATTGAAGCAAGTAGCTATAATGGTTGTCTGTGTAATTTACGGACTGAGTAATATAATCTGTTTTGGAGAAACAGTAGAGATAAGACTGAGACAATAATGATTTTTATTAAGTTGAATCTGCAGACTAACCATGTGATGGAAGAAAAAGGCTTCAAACCAGTTGTAATGAAAATAATGATGTTTAAATTGTTACACTTTATGAAGAGTAACGGAACAGTCCGGGAAAATAAATAAATAGTGAGACAGAAGAGAGCAAATGCTGTAAACAGCTCTGCTCTGAAGATCTCACTTTGAAGAGATTTGCAGATGATGTTTTGTAAAAGATAAGCTGGGATAACAGCAACAGTACTTGTAATTAGTGTTGTTGATGATAATACCAAATTAGTAAGGTAAAGACAGAAAACAAATTCGAATATTTTGAGCATTTTCTGTGCTGCTCATGAAATTATGTTCTGCCAATAATAATGATGAAGAGTATGATTTGGCTATTGTGATTGAATCCGCCATTGGTGGATGGTCAAAGGAATACAGAGAACTGCTTATCAGTGGGTCTGTTTACATTCCTGAAAGAGACACACACTGCTTCAAGGGTGTGAAGTTAGTTGAAGCCCTTTGGAAGCTCACAGTGATCAAACTGCAAGGTGTCTGATGCTGTAGTTGAGGCTGACACACGAACCAACCAGATGACAGAGATTGTCTTGACTGTGGTCAGTAGGACCATTTAACACGTGACACATTTCTGATAATAATGTGAGTTGCAAAATATGTAAAGGTAATATAGAGAGACTAATCTCACAGATGATTTACCATAACTGCAAAAGTATCACAAGCAGAGAGTGCTTGCCTCGTCAAAGTTAGTGTGAATCCTGATTGGAGACTGATAAACTCCTAGAAGAGAAAACTTTGAGGTCAGATATTAAAGGAGCTGTATGTAAGATTGTGGCCAAAACTGGTACTGCAATCACTTTCAAATTACTGTAGAGCGGGTTATCCCCTCCCCCTCCCCCCTGACTCGAGGTTGCCAGATAGGCTGCAGGATCCAGCAGGAACATAGGCTGCTACAAGGAGCTTTCAACTAGAGCAGAGCTGGCAACCCGGATGCCGAAACACTACTGACTTCGTGATTGGTAGATAGGTGGAGGGTGGGGTTTCTGGCCAAAACACAAGATGACAACATCAACATCAGTTGAGGGCTGCAACTTTACTTTTTAAATGACAATATCGTGGCCGTACTACTGTTGTCAGTGATATAAGTATTTGAAATGAACATGATTTCTTAATGTCTAGAGACACATCAGGGCCATTTTATGATTAATTGAAATACATTTCTTACATACAGCTCCTTTAAGTTATGGTAATTGAGAACTTGACAACTAAAATTGAGATTGAGAAATGTG